ACAGTAGACTTGTAATATAGTTTGATATCAGGTATTGTGATCTCTCCTACTTTGTTTTTCTTTCTCGAAATTGCTGTGGCTATTTGGGGTCATCTATGGTTCCACATACATTTTTGAATTTTTTGTTCTATATCTGTGAAATATGTCATTGATATTTTAATAGTGGTTGAGTTGAACTGATAATTTGCTCTGGGTAGTATGGACATTCCATACTGTTAAATATTCTAATCCATGAACACAGTATATGCTTCCATTCATTTGTGTCTTCCTTAATTTTTCTTCAGTGTTGGGTAGGTTTCTGAGTACAAATCTTTTACCTCCTTCGTTAGGTTTACTCTTAGGTACTTTATTTTTCTCATTGCTATAGCAATGAGATATTTTTCCTGATTTCTGTTTTAGATAGTTTGTTGTTGATGTACAAAAATGCCTTGATTTCTGAATATGGACTAAATTCACTTATTAGTTTGAGTGACTTTTGGTGCAGTCTATAGGATTTTCTATGTACACTATCATGTCATCTGCAAACAGCGACCATTTTGTTCCTCCTTTCTGATTTGGATGCTTTTTTTATTGTTTTCTTGTCTGACCACTGTAGCTAACACTTCCAATTGAGTAGAAGTATTGAATAGAAGTGGCAAAAATGGACACCCTTGTCTGGTTCCTAATCTCAGTGGGAAAGCTTTAGGTTTTTGCCCATTGAGTATGATGTTGACTGTAGATTTCTCATGTTATGTTAAGGTAAGCCTTTATTATGTTAGGGTGTACTCCCTCTACACATGCTTTGCTGAGTGTTTTTATCATAAATGAGTGCCGTACCTTATCAAAAGCTTTTTCCACATCTATAGATATGATCATGTGATTTTTTCTTTCCTTTTGTTTATGTGATGTATTATGCTTATTGATTTGCAAGCATTGAACCATCCTTGCATCTCTGGGATAAATCACACTTAATCTATTGTATTATCTTTTAACTGTACTGCTGGATACGGTTTGCCAATATTTGGTTGAGGATTTTAGCATCTATGTTCATTAGTGATATTGGCCTAAAGAAAGAAAACTGTAGATGTGTCTTTATCTGTTTTGGGGATTAGGATGATGCTGGCCTCATAAAGAGTTTGGGAGTCCTCCCTCTTTTTGGATCTTTTGGAATAGTCTGAGAATGATAGGTGTTAGCTCTTCCTTAAATGTTTTGTAGAATTCTCCCATGAAATTGGCCAGTCCATGGCTTTTGTGTGCCAGGACTTTTCTGATTACTACTCCAATTTCACTGGCTGTTATTGGTCTGTTCAGGCTTTCTGATTCTTCTTGATTCATTTTTGGAATATTATATTTTTCTAGGAATTTGTTTATTTCACCCAGGTTTTTAAATTTCTTGGTTTATAGTTGTTCATAGTAATTTCTTATAACCCTTTGTATTTCTGTGGTGTCAGTTGTAATTTCTTCATTTCTGATTTTATTTATTGGTGTCATCTCCCTTTTTTACTAGATGAGTCTAGTTGAAAATGTGTTGATTTTGTTTATCTTTTCAAAAACCAGCTCCTGGATTTATTGACTCTTTGAATTGTTCTTTTTGTCTTTATGTCATTTAATTCTGCAGTGATCTTGATTATTTCCTTCCTTCAACTTGCTCTAGACTCTGTTGTTTTCCTCCAGTTTTTTTCTATGTATGTTTAGGTCATTTATTTGAAATGTTTTTTTTTTTATCTTTTTTAGGTAGTCCTGTATTGCTATGAACGTGCCTGAATGTTCAGGGCTACCTATACTGTGTCCCATCGGTTTTGGGTTATTATGTGTCCATTCTCATTTGTTTCCAGAAACTTTTTGATTTCTTTCTTGATCTCATTGTTTATGCATTCATTGTTTAAAAACACATTACTCAGTCTCCATGGATTTGATTGTTTTTGATTGATATAATTTCTATTTTCTTGAATTTGTTGAGGCTTGTTTTGTGTCTTATCCTGTGGTTATTCTTTGAAAATGTTCTATGTGCATTTGAAAAGAATGTGTCTTTTGCTTCTTTGGGATGAAAGGTTCTATATATATCATATCCGTTAAGTCGATTAGATCTAATGCATTTTTCAGTTCCACAATACCCTTGCTGATGATTTTTTGTTTGGAGGATGGATCCATTGTTGACAGTGAGGTGTTAAAATACCCTAGTATAATTGTGTTCCTGTCTTTATCTTTCCTGAAGTCCTCCAAGATTTTTCTCATATATTTGGATGCTCCTATCTCTGGAACATACATGTTTATAATATTTATTTTATTTTATTTTATTTTAATTTTTTTACTGTTCAAATACATTTGTCTCCACCTTCTCACCTCCACTTTCCTTTGTTTCCCAACCACCCCTGCCTCCACAATCCTTTACCATTTTGGCTTTGTTCATGGGTCCTCCACACATGTTCCTTGACTTGACCCTTCCTTTCACTTTCCCTACCCCACCTCACTCCTTCCCTTTTGATTCCGTTGGTTTCTTTTTTCCTTCAATGTTGCTGGTTATATTTTCATTGCTTCTTTGTTTTTTGGTTAGGTTCCACTTATAGGTGAGATCATATGGTATTTGTCTTTCACCCCTTGGCTTATTTCACTTAGCATAATGCTCTCCAGTTCCATCCATGCTGTCGCGAAGGATAGTAGCTCGCTCTTTCTTTCTGCTCCATAGTATTCCATTGTGTAAATGTACCATAGTTTTTTGATCCACTCTTTTACTGATGGGCAATGAGGTTGTTTACAGCACTTGGCTATTGTAGATTGTGTTGCTATGAACATTAAGGTACATAGTTTCATTTGAATTGGTGTTTTGGGATTATTAGGGTATAATCCCAGCTGCAGAATCACTGGGTCAAAAGGCAGTTTCATTTTTAGCTTTTTGAGGAATAACCAAACTGTTATCCACAGTGGCTGCACCAGTCTGCATTCCCACCAACAGTGTACTAGGGTTCCCTTTTCTCCACAACCCTGCCAGGACCCGTCGTTTGTTGATCTGTTTATGATGGCCATTCTGAACATGGTGAAGTAGTATCTCATTGTGGTTTTAATTTGCATTTCTCTGATGGCTAGTGATGAAGAGCATCATTTCATGTCTCTGGGCCCTCTGTATCTCTTCCTTGGAGAAGTGTCTGTCCAGGTACTTTGCCCATTTTTTAATTAGATTGTTTGTCTTCTTGGAGTGGAGTCATGTGAGTTCTTTATATATTTTGGAGATCAAACCCCTATCTGATGTATCATTAACAAATATATTTTCCCATATGGTTGGTTCCCTTTTCATTTTGCTGATGCTTTCTTTAGCTATGTAGAAGCTTCTTATTTTGATGAAGTCCCAGTTGTTTATTTTTTCCTTTATGTCCCTTGCTGTAGGGGATATATTGGTGAAAATATTGCTGCGTGGAATATCTGAGACTTTCCTGCCTATGTTCTCCTCTAGGACTTTTATGGTGTTGCGACTTATATTTAAGTCTTTTATCCATCTGGAGTTTATTTTTGTGTGTGGTGTCAGTTGGTGATTGAATTTTAATTTTCTGCGTGAAGCTGTCCAGCTCTCCCAACACCATTTGTCGAAGAGGCTATTTTTACTCCACTTTATGCTACTGCCCCCTTTGTAAAATATTAATTGACCATAGAGACATGGGTTTATTTCTGGGCTTTCTATTCTGTTCCACTGATCTATGTGTCTGTTCCTTTGACAGCACCAGACGGTTTTGATTACAGTGGCCTTGTAATATAGTTTGATGTCCGGTACTGTGAGCCCTCTGCTTTGTTTTTCTTTCTCAAAATTGCTGCGGATATTCGGGGTCTTTTATGGTTCCATATAAATTTTTGAAATGTCTGTTCTATGTTTGCAAAATACGTCATTAGTATTTTAATAGGGATTGCATTGAATCTATAAATTAGTTTGGGTAGTATGAACATTTTGATGATATTAATTCTTCCAATCCATGAATATTGTATATGCTTCTATTTTGTGTGTGTGTGTGTCTTCCTTATTTTCTTTCTTTGGTTTTGTATAGTTTTTGGCATACAGGTCTTTTACCCCCTTGGTTAAATTTTTTCCTAGGTACTTCATTATTTTTGTTGCTCTTTTAGTAAAGGGGATTTTTTTTACTGATTTCTGCTTCTGATATTTCATTGTTGGTGTACAAAAATGCCTTCAATTTCTGAATATTGACTTTGTATTCTTCTGTTTTGCCAAATTCACTTATTAGGTCAAGTAGATTTTTGGTGGAGTCAATAGGGTTTTCTACGTACACTACCATGTCATCTGCAAACAATGATAGTTTTACTTCCTCCTTTCCAATTTTGATGCCTTTTATTTCTTTTTCTTGTCTCACTGCTATGGCTAGGATTTCCAATACTATGTTGAATAGAAGTGGTGAAAGCAAACACTCTTGTCTTGTTCCCGATCTTAGTGGGAAAGCTTTTATTTTTTGCCTGTTGAGTTTGTGTTGGCTGTAGGTTTTTCATATATGGCCTTTATTATGTTGAGGTATGCTCCCTTTATTCCCATTTTGCTGAGTGTTCTTATCATAAATGGGTGCTGTATCTTATCAAATGCTTTTTCTGCATTTTGAGATGATCATGTGGTTTTTCTCTTTCCTTTTGTTTATGTGATGTATTACGTTTATTGATTTGCAAATGTTGAACCATCCTTGCATCCGTGGGATGAATCCCACTTGACCATTGTGGATGATCCTTTTCATGTATTGCTGGATATGGTTTGCCAATATTTTGTTGAGGATTTTAGCATCTATGTTCATAAACAATGTTGGCCTGTAGTTTTCTTTCTTTGTTGTGTCTTTATCTGTTTTGGGGATTAGGATGATGCTGGCCTTGTAAAAAGTTTGGACGTCTTCCCTCATCTTGTATTTTATGGAATAATCTGAGAAAGTCAGGAGTCAGCTCTTCCTTAAATATTTTTTTAAATGAGTTTATTAAAGAATGTTATTAGGAAGGCAACGACGTTTGATTTACCATTAAAAAAAAGTTCTGTTTCTTCATGTTGTATAATCAAGGTAATGTAAGAGGCTACAGAGTTAGAAGCTTCTTTCCACTGGATTCTCTGATAGTATAGTACAGTGTAGTCATTTCTGTAATGCTAGAATAAATAAAAAAGTCTCTTCTATGCTTCTCTTTAAAAAGTGATGAACAGTAACAGAAGATGGCATAAAAAAAGCCATTTTTCTATTTATTCTGTAGTATTGGAGCCAGTATTTTTACCATCACAGGCTGCAATTTTCACTTTATACACATTAATAAGTTCTGTCACCTCTCTGAATTCAACATCATTCAATACAAAAGTCCAGACATTATGGCAGAATCTGTATGTATTTAGAGAGCCTCTGAAATTGACTCTGTTTCTGACCTTCTGAGCCAATGCTGAATTTATTGCATTATCAAACTGAAGTAGAACTTGAAGGGCAAGTTGAGGAGTGATCTGTTGAGACTATATGAGCTAATCGAGGCTTTCCTGAAGACTGTTTCCCAATGTGGTATTTCTGTATAACTGATAGGCCATGGCTTAGAGGAAGAAACTGTTTTTCTTATTCAGTCTTGCATTGATGTCCTGTGAGGAAGGCACTTCACGCTGTCGAGTAGACAGAAGCAGCACGGCGAGGAACCCAGCAGCAGGTACCTACTTCCCCCACCACCTCCAAATATTTTGTAAAATTATCCTGTGAAAACCATCTGGTCCAAGGCTTTTGTGTGCTGGGAAATTTTTGATTACTGTTTCAATTTAATCAGCTGTTATTGGTTTGTTCAGGCTTTCTGCTTCTTCTTCTTCATTCAGTGTGGGAAGGTTTTATTTTTTCTAGAAATTTGTCAATTTCATCAATGTTTTCAAATCTTGACATATAATTGCTCATAGTAATTTCTTACAATCCTTCATATTTCCTCTCTTTCATTTCTGATATTATTTATTTTCATCCTCTCCCTTTTTTTTCCTGATGAGTATGCTTAAAGAATTGAGGATTTTGTTTATCTTTTCAAAGAACCAGCTCCTGGATTGGTTGATCATTTCAATTTTTCTTGTAGTCTCTGTCATTCAATTCCGCTCTGATCTTGATGATTCCCTTTCTTCTACTTGCTCTGGTATTTTGTTGTTGTTGTTGTTTTTCATCCAGCTCTTGAAGTTATAGTGTTAGGTCATTTATTTGAAATGTTTCTACCTTTTTTAGGTACGACTATGTTGCTAACAAACTTCCCTCTCAAGACTGCCTTTGCTTCCCTCTCAGGACTGCCATAGGTTTTAGACTGTTGTATGTTCATTTTCATTTGTTTACAGAAACTTTTTGACCCATTTCTTCTCTCATCTCATTATTAACCCATTCATTTTTTTCATAGTGTGCTATGTCTCAATGTCTTTGAAAGTTTCTGAGGTTTCTCCTAGAAGCTGATTTCCAGTATCAAGTTCTTGTGGTGTGAGAAAATGCTTTTTTATTATTTCAATTTTCCTGAATTTGTTGAGGCTTGTTTTGTGTCCTGTCATGTGGCCCATCTTTGAAATTGTTCTGTGTACATTTGAAAGAATGTGTATTTTACCATATGATCTCACCTATAAGCGGAACCTAACCAACAATGCAAAGATGCAAGGAAAATATGACCAGCAACACTGAAAGGAAAAGAAATCAACAGAGACAAGAGGGAAGGGGGGGCAGGGAAAGGGAAGGGAAGGGGAAAGTCAAGGAACATATAGCAAGGACTCATGGACAAAACCAAAGGGGAAGAGCTGAGGAAGGGAAAGTGGGAGGGGGCAAGGGAAAGAGGTGGGGGGGAGGCAGAGACAAATGTATTTAAATAGTAAATAAATTAAAAAAATGAATACTTCTTTATAAGTTAAGAATAAATAACATTGAAAATATTAAATAATTGGAAAATTCAAAAAAAAAAAGAAAGAATGTGTATTTTGTTTCTTTCAGATGAAAGTTTCTATATATGTCAGTTAAGTCCATTTGATATAATGCATCATTCAGTTCCACAATATCCATGTTGATGTGGGTTTGGAAATTCTATCCATTTTTGACAGTGGGGAGTTAAAATCCCCTACTCTCAGTGTTGTTGTCTATATCTTTCATGAAGTCTTCCAAGATTTTCTTTATATATTTGGGTGCTCCTATGACAAGTGGGTATATGTTTACCCTGTATGTGTCTTCTTGATGAATTCTTCCTTTGGATATTATGAAGGACCCCTCTGGGTATCTTTTTATGTCCTTTGTTTTGAAATCTATTTTATCTGATATAAGTATTGCTACCCCTGCTCCCCCCCGCCATTTCCTTGGAATACTTTTTTTCCATCCTTTTAGTTTCAGTCTGTGTAAGTTCTTTGTTCTGAGGTGGATCTCTTGTAGGCAGCATATGTGTGAGTCATATTTTCTTATCCATTCAGCTATCCTGTATCTCTTGATTGGGTCATTTAGTCCATTTACATTTAAAGTTATTATTGATAGGTACTTATTCATTTTTTCCCTTTGTACCTGTGTTTTTCTCTTTCTCGCTCTTCTTCATCTTCTTAAACCAGTCTCTTTAGCATATCTTGTAGTGCTGGTTTGGTGGAGATGTATTCTTTTAGCCTTCTTTTGTCTGGGAAACTCTGTATTTCACCTTCCATTTTAATTGAGAGCTTTGCTGGGTCTCAATATTTCCTCATTTCTGGGGTGTTTCTTATCCTTCACATTATTTGTGAATCTCTTATTTTTTTTTCTTTTTTGCTTCTGCTTCTTAAATTGATCTGCCTTTATTTCCTGAATTTATGGTGTGAACCTCTGTGGTAGTAGATGGATCTCTCTTTTCTTTTTTCTTTTCTTTCTCAGTCTCCCTCAGATGATGTCATATGCTGACCTCATCTGACCTTTGGCAGTCTGTTTGAGACCTCCTAGAATCTATTGCCTTTGTTTGTCTCCTGCAATTGTTAGGCTAGTCACTCTGCCCTCAGCCATCAGGCTTAGGCACCACAGGGCAGGGCAGTGCCTCGTGAAGGCAGAGCTGTTGTGTCCTCACAGGCTGCTGCCACTCTAAGGAGTTGGCTGTCTGAGCAAGATGGAACCTGAGGAGTGCGGGAGGAATTAGCACCAATATCCCCTGGCTACTCCCTCAGTTCTCTCCCCTATGCTTCCATCTCCAGTGTCTCCTCTAGCATCTGTAGACAGCTCTATGTCCCCCTTAGCCTGGGATCCACTTTCTGTGCCAGCCACACTCCACTCAGCACCCAGGCCTGCGTGAAATTCCTAGTGGGGTATAGAGGCCTCAGGGAAGGTCTAATGTTTCCTTTCCCACTGCTGCTTCTCTGGGGTGTGGCTTGCCTGAGCAAGATGGAGACTGCAGAATGGGGAAGGAGCCAGCACTGGAAACCCCTCAGCTACTCCTTCAGTTCTCTCCCCAGTGCCTCTGTCTCCAGTCTCTCCTCAAGCATCTCTAGACAGCTCTATGACCCCTGTAGCCAGGGATCTACTATCTGTGCCTGCTTCTCTGCACTCAGAACCCAAGCCCGTGCGCAACTCCTGTCCAGAGGCAGAGCATTCCGAGGGTGAAGCTATTGTTTCCTTTATGTCTGAGGAAGATGGAAGCTGCAGAGTGGGAGGTGAGTCATCACTGTGGCCCCACTTGCCAATGTCTCAGTTCTCTCCCCAAGACTTTCCTCACCAATCTCTCCTCATGCGGCTCCAGCCATACTCTGCCCCTGCCTCTGCCCAGAGACCAAGGTAGGTGGCTTCCACTGCAAATTTTTGCATTGGCTCTTTAAATGTCTCTCTGTATCCAGCCACCTGTCTCTGACAGAGAGTACTACTATGCTTTTCACAGCTGTCTTTTTTCTGTGTGCTTTTTTGGGTTCTGGTGCTACAGGCTAGAGGTCCCCACTTATGATTCAGACCCTGTTCTTCTTAGGGGGATCCAACTGGCCATTTCAATATCCCTCTGGTGCTGGTGCCTATGAGTGCCCAGCCCACCCTCTCAAGCCTCCACTGCACTTCTCACACATTAGGTTGTGCAAAAGCCGATCCACTGTCTGTCCGAGGATCCAAGGCGTTCTCTCACTAGCGTTCCATTCTTTTTCAGGTGATTCTTCCACAATTATTTGCAATTCCAGTTTGGTCCTGGAAGGAGGTCAGTGTGACTTCCACTTACTCCTCTGCCATATTGTACAGAATAGTTTAATTATGTCTTCTTCATTAATTCTTCCCTTGAGTATTATTAAATGCCCTCCTGTGCCTATTTTCATGGCCTTTGTTTGAAGTTTGATTTTTCTCATATAAGCGTTGCTACCTTGGCTTTTTTTGCTAGTCCATTTACTTGGAAAATTATTTCCAACCCTACACTTTGGTCCCGTGTAGGTCTTTTGTTCTTAGGTGGGCCTTTGTGGGAAACATTTGTGTGTGTCTTATCCATTCCATGTTTTCTTATCCATTCAGCTACCCTATGTCTTTTGACTAGGGCATTTAATCAATTTATATTTAAGGTTATTATTGATAGGTACTTATTAACTGCCATTTTAAATACCTTTGTACCTGTATTCTTCTTCTTTTTTTTTTTTTTCTTTTTCTTCACCTTCTCAAAGTAGTCCCTCTGCAATGCTGGTTTGGTGGAGGTGTGTTCTTTTGCCTTCTTTTGTCTGGGAAACTCCTTATTTCTTCTTCCATTTTAATTGAGAGCCTTGCTGGGTAGAGTAGCCTAGGTTGCAAGCCTTTGCTTTTCATTACTTGAAATATTCTTGTCATTCCCTTCTACCTTGTAGTGTTTCTTTTGAGAAGTCAGCTGTTAGCCTTACCGAAGCCCTCTTGTATGTTACTTCCTGTTTCTCCCTTGCTGTCTTTAAGATTCTCCTTTTGTCTTTTTATTTTGCCATTTTATTTATGATATTTGTTTAATTGGGTATTTTGGGTTCATCTTGATTGGGACCCTGTGTGCTTCCTGGACTTATGTGATGTTTCTCTCATCAAAATAGGGAAATTTTCCATTTTTTCCAATGGGTTTTCTATCCTGTGCTTCTCTTATTCTCCTTCTGGTATTCCTATTATATAGATATTATTACATTTTGTTTTTCCCTGCAGTTCCCTTAACTCCTCTTCTTTCTTTTTGAGTCTTTTTTTTCCTTTTCTTGCTCCTTCTTGGAGTTTTTTTTCTACCTTGTCCTCTAACTCCCTGATTTAATCCTCTACTTTGTCTAGCCAGCTTTTTATTCCTTCTATTGTGTTCTTCCTAAATTGAATTTTTAATTTCTTCTTGCCTCTTGTTGGTAGTTTCTATGTCCTTTTTCATGCTGATGTACTTCACTTAAGTTCCTTGTAACTTCCCTGTAGTTTTGGTTGTGCTCACTGAGCTCATTGAGCTTCCTTAGAACCATTATTTTTGAAATCAATATCTGATAGTTGACTTGCCTCTCTTTCATTCACTACTGTTTCTGAGGATTCCTCCTTTCTTTTTCATTGGAAGCTGTTTCTTTGTTTCCCAACTTTTTGGGATACTCTTCTTGCTTGTTTCTGCTTCTTAAATTGATCTGTTTTGACTCCTGTCTTTGTTGTGTGAACTTCTATGGTAAGAGATCTGTGAGAGTTCAGAGGTGCAGTTTCCATGTTTTCCTGAACTTGATGCTCTTGAGATGCCCTTTATTCCTTTTATGTTGGCTTTTTG